AATAATGTGCCTTGGTTATGGTAGGTAATTCGAAGAAAAATAAAGTGTTACTGTTTCTTATTTGTAGAAGGTTTAAGAGGAAAGACCACAACATAATAAACTAATTCATCACAATACCTGAAAACTCTGACTTCACTTTTTTGAAAAATGAAATGGTCTTTGCTTTTATATATCTTTAAATATCTTTTCTTGAATTATGAATAACACGAATAGCTTGAAATATTTATTTAAATTATCTCAAAATAAACCTTCATTTCGGTGCAATATTGAAATTAGCTTGAATTATTCATAACCTCTGAGTAGTGGGTGACCCAATGGGTCACGGGTGGTCTAGTTATTACTAAAATCAGTTAGATTAACAACTTCTAATATATAGAAAAGCCAGTGAGTTTTGGTACCACTACGTTCCAACAATGGCTTTTATGTCATGTTGCTTAGCAACAAAAGTATAACCTAATATTGTTGTTAGTATGTGTACTTAAAGTGTAAAATGAAATGTATGGACAACAAACTTGGAAAAATATTTGTTGGTTTCTTAATTTAAAGTCTCAGTTGATTAAAGAGGTTTGTTTTTTTTATTAAAACTCTGGGGATATAACAGAAAATAGCTTAATTCAGAAACAATTTAAGTTTAAAATTTAATCGATATTTTTACTTTCATGATTAAATGTTATGCACTTGTCTCTAGGCTAGGTAATCCCACACTCGGTCTTTACCTTAGGCTCATTATACGAACAGTCATTACACTTATAAAGTTTCGTAATGGGGAGACAGTAATCGAACTATTCTATCTGGATAAATGCATTTCGGCTTTTATAACTCCTCCAGGGGCACAGCGATATGTCTCAGCGGACTTTAAACGCTAGAAACTAGATTTCGATACCCGTGGTGGGTATAGCACAGATAGCCCATTGTGCAGCTTTATGCTTAACTAAAAACAAACATATTTCGAGAAATCAAGCGTGATATGACACACATTGTCTTTTATATAGTGTTACGACAGCAGGGGTCACGTGACCCTAGTAACACGTCATATTCTCGAACGTTCACGTCCCTTCCTGAAGCCTCGAGAGGTTACTAGATATACGGTATTCCTGTATATATAAGACCGGTAAGAAGTGACGGCAACAATGTAAGGTAATTGAACTGCAGACAGAGAGAGACTGACAATTGAGTCGAGCACGTGAGTCGTTCGTGGTGAATTATAGCGTTTGTTTAAGCTATAGCGTGAACGTGGAAATTAAGTGAATTTCAAAGTTGTATTCAGAAAGAATAAACCAGTTTTATTTAAGAAAATACCTGTATCGCTAAAGTTTCTTCGGAAATAATTTTTTACGGAAAATTAACTAACGACCAGAGACGTAACAATAGGTTAAATATCTTGTTTATTCTTATGATCTTAATTTCAACCTTCTAGGTGCGCATAAACATACATTGATTTGATCAGTTAGTTTTATTAGATTTTTTTATTACGAGTACAGTGAACTTTGTTTATTAAACTTTTTTAAACTGGATAGACAAAGAATGTTAGTTTAACAGTATAAAACTTGCTTAGTTTCTAGCTTACGAAGAATGAAATTCAATTTTATTCTGATATTATTATACAATTGCACGATAGGGTTGGATGTTTAGCGATAATTTCGAATCTTACAAAACTTAGTCTTCAAATGAAAAATGAAAATAACCCTAATGGTGTCATGTGTTATGAAATACTTGGAGGATGAATATATCCCTGATGATGCTATGTATTGCAATGGTAAATGGGGAATCAATATACATTTGTGAATGCCGTGTATTACGAAGTTAACTGATGAATCGATATACGTCTATGAATGTCATGTATTACCAATTTAACTGGGGAATCGATGTACGTCAATGAATGCCATGTATTACCAAGTTAACTGGGAATCGATGTACGTCTATGAATGTCATGTATTACGAAGTTAACTGGGGAATCAATGTACGTCAATGAAAGTCATGTATTACCAAGTTAACTGGGGAATCAATGTACGTCAATGAAAGTCATGTATTACCAAGTTAATTGGGGAATCGATGTACGTCTATGAATGTCATGTGTTATGAAGTTTGCTGGGGAATAAATATAGAATATTTTTAATATTTTGATTCAATATTTTATAACATTTGTTAATGATATGTGAACGATCAGTTACGCGTAAATCAGTTACAACTCAAGTAGTAAAACACACAAAAAAAACAATCAATCACCGCAATTTTAAATCTTCAACGACTTACAAAACAAACTTTTCGCCGAGATTCTTCAAGTCCTGTCACTATATACGTTCGGCCCTTCTCTTCCCATGTTCCATGGCACTGAAAACCTAGAAAACGAAACAAGATTTTGGAAACTCTACGGCGTTACTTAACACATACGTTTAATCCATTTTTCTTAAAGATATTTATGTGAATGTTGAATACATTTTCATTTATACATTATACATAAGAGAAGTGAAAATAAAAATTGTTTTTAACACATAATGTAGAAATATTTAGAAGTAAGTTTGCTCTTACTGTTTAATTTACATCTTAGACAATCTAACAAGGAAGTTAAGCCACACCTACCATCTATAACTTCACGAAACAAATGTTAATGTAAAATAAAGTGATTAAGATAATGAAGGAAAAAGAAGATTCAGCCACAACTAATACAAAATAACATCGCTGAGAAAAACAAAACAAATAACAATGTTATTATAACGCCAATAATACAAAGAATTGACAATAATATTTACCCACAAAACTATCAGAAAGAAAGAAGAAACAATAATATTTCGTCACGCCACTAATAGAAAGAAAGAAAGAAATAATAATATTTAGACACACCACTAATAGAAAACAACAACAATAATATTTAGTCACGACAAAAATAGGATGAAACAAACAATAATATTTAGTCACGACAAAAATAGGAAGAAACAAACAATAATATTTAGTCACGACAACAATAGGAAGAAACGAACAATAATATTTAGTCATGACAATAATAGGAAGAAACAAACAATAACATTTAGTCACGACAACAATAGGAAGAAACGAACAATAATATTTAGTCACAACAATAATAGGAAGAAACGAACAATAATATTTAGTCACAACAATAATAGGAAGAAACGAACAATAATATTTAGGCACGACAACAATAGGAAGAAACGAACAATAATATTTAGTCATGACAATAATAGGATGAAACAAACAATAATATTTAGTCACGACAATAATAGGAAGAAACGAACAATAATATTTAGTCACGACAAAAATACGAAGAGACAAACAATAATATTTAGTCACGACAACAATAGGAAGAAAAGAACAATAATATTTAGTCATGACAATAATAGGAAGAAACAAACAATAATATTTAGTCACGACAATAATAGGAAGAAACAAACAATAATATTTAGCCATAACATTAATAGAAAGAAACAAACAATAAAGTTTAGCGACACCACTAATAGAAAGAAAGAAACAATAATATTTAGCCACTCGCTAATAGAAAGAAACAAACAATATTTAACCACACCATTAATAGATAGAAACAGAAAATAATATTTAGTCAAGCTTTAATAAAAAAGGAAACAAACCATAATATTTAGCCACACCGCTAATAGAAAAAGAATAATGATAATTAACCACTGCACTAATAGAACGAAAGGATGAATAATATTTAGTCACGACAACAATAGGAAGAAACAAACAATAATATTTAGTCAAGACAACAATAGGAAGAAGTAAACAATAATATTTAGTCACGACAGCAATAGGAAGAAACAAACAATAATATTTAGTCACGACAACAATAGGAAAAAACAATAAAGTTAAGTGACGCCACTAATAGAAAGAAAGAAACAATAATATTTAGCCACTCGCTAATAGAAAGAAATAAACAATATTTAACCACACCATTAATAGATAGAAACACAAAATAATATTTAGTCAAGCCTTTAATAAAAAGGAAACAAACCATAATATTTAGCCACACCGCTAATAGAAAAAGAATAGTAATAATTAACCAATGCACTAATAGAACGAAAGGATGAATAATATTTAGTCACGAAACTAATAAAAAGAAATAAAAATAACATTTAGTCACGCAATTAATAGAGAGAAACAAACAATAATATTTATTAATGCCAGAAATAGCGAGAAACGAACAATAATGTTTAGCCACACTACTAATAGAAATAAATAAATAAAAGTATTTAGCTACACTGCTCATAAAAAGAAACAATAATAGATAGCCACACCGCTAATAGAAAGAAACAACAATAATACATAGTCACGCCCACAATAGAAAGAAACAACAATGTTAGTTAGCCACTCCGCTATTTGAAAAAAGAAACAATAATTTTTAGCCCCACTACTAATAGAAAGAAAGAAACAACAATACTTAGCAACTCTGTTAATAAAATAAAACAAAGAATAACATTTAGCCACATCACTAATAGAAAGAAACAAAAATAATATTTAATCTCACCACTTATAAAAAGAAAGAAAGAATAATATTTAGCCACATCGCTAATAGAAAGAAATAAACAATAATATTTAGCCACACCATTAATAGAACAAAACAAAAATAATATTTAGTCACGCCACTAATAGAAAAAAACAACAATAATATTTAGTCTCACCACTAACAGGAAGAAATATCAATAACATTTAGTCATAACATTAATAGAAAGAGAGAAACAATAATGTTTAGCGACGCCACTAATAAAATCAAACAAACAAAAATATTTTGTCTCACCACTAAGAAAAAACAAAAACAATAATATTACAACAGCGGAAGTCACGTGACGCTGATAACACGTCATGAGTTTCTAGAAGGATCATCACTGTTCCTGGCCACTCTAGTGTTTGCCAGACGCCCTCTATTTTTGTATATAAGCCCGGCAAATAAAGCGGAGATGAAGAGTGACAGCATATATAACTGCAGATAGAGAGAGATATAGAGACAGATAATTGAGTCAAGTGAGCGATAGTGACCGTAAGTAAATTGCGTGAATCGTTGTAAATTATAGCGTGTGTTTAAGTTAAAGTGACTGTGGAAATTAAGTGTATTGCAAAGTTGTATTGAGAAAGAATAAACTAGTTTTATTTAAGAAAGGACTTGTATCGCTGAAGTTCTTCGGAAAGAATTTTTTCGGGAAATTAGCAAACGGCCAGAGACGTAACAATAATATACAGTCACGCCGCTAATAGAAAAAACAAGAATACTACTTAGACAGGCCCTAATAGAAAGAAACAAACAATAATGTTTAGTTACGACACTAATAGAAAGAAACAACAATAGTATTTAGCCACACCATTAATAGAAAGAAAAAACTAATATTTTGTCACGCTACTAATAGAAAGAAAGAAAGAATAATATTATCACACCATTATTAGAAGGAAAGAAACAATAATTTTAGCCACAGCATTAATAGAAGGAAAGAAACAATAATATTTAGTCACGCCATTAATAGAAAAAAACAATCAATAATATTTAGTCACGCCAATAATAGAAAGAAACGAACAATAACATTCAGTCACGCCACTAATAGAAAGAAACAACAATAATATTTAGTCACACCACTAACTGAAAAAAACACAATAACACTTAATTACGCTACTAATAGAAAGAAAGTAACATTATTTTTCTCCACGCTACTAATAAAAACAAACAAACAATAATATTTAGCTGCACCGCTCATGGAAAGAAACAACAATAATTTAACCACACTGCGAATAAAAAGAACTAAACAACAATAATTAGCCACACCTTTAATCGATAGAGACACAAAACAATATTTTGTCACGCTTATAATTTAAAAAAGGAAACAAACCATAATATCCACACCGCTAATATAAAAAGAATAATAAGATTTAACCACAGCAGTAACAGAACGAAATAATCAATAATATATAGTTATGAAACTAATAGAAAGAAACAAACAATTATGTTTAGTCATGCCACTAATATAAAAAAACAAACAATAATATTTAGCCACAAGACTAATAGAAATAAATATCGATAATATTTAATCTTCCCACTTATAATAAAAAGAAAGATTAATGTTTAGCCACGCCAGTAATAAAAACAAATAAAGAATAATTTTCAGTCACACCACTAATATAAACAAACAAACAATAATATTTACCCACACCACAAATAAAAAAAAGATCAATAATATTTAGTCACGCCACTAATACAAAGAAACAAACAATAATATTTAGCCACACCACTAATAGAGAGAAACAACAATAATATTTAGCCATATCGCTAAGAGAAAGAAACTAACAATAATATTTAGCCATATCGCTAAGAGAAAGAAACTAACGATAATATTTAGCCATATCGCTAAGAGAAAGAACCTAACAATAATATTTATCCATATCGCTAAGAAAAAGAACCTAACAATAATATTTAGCCACACCACTAATAAAAAGAAAGAACAATAATATCTAGTCACGTGACTAATAGAATGAAACAACAATATTATTTAGTCACGTCACTAATAGAAAGAAACAACAATAATATTTAGCCACACCATCAATAGAAAGAAAGAAACAATAACGTTTAGACACGCCACTAATAAAAACAAACAAAGAATATTATTTAGTCACACCGCTAATAGAAAGAAATAAACAATAATATTTAGTCACGCTACTAATAGAAAGAAACAATCATTAATATTTAGCCACTCGCTAATACAAATAAACAAACAACAATATTTAACGACACTATTAATAGATAGAAACACAAAATAATATTTAGTCATGCCTCTAATAAAAAGGAAACAAATCATAATATTTAGCCACGCCGCTAATAGAAAATTAATAGTAATATTCAGCTACTGCACTAATAGAACGAAAGAATCAATAATATTTAGTCACGAAACTAATAAAAAGAAACAAACAATAATATTTAGTCATGCCACTAATAAAAAGAAACAAACAATAATATTTAGCCTCTCCGATAATAGAAAAAATAATAGTAATACTTAATCACGCCACTAATAGAAAGAAAGTAACATTAATTTTTATCCACGCTACTAATAAAAACAAACAAACAATAATTTTTAGCTACACCGCTCATAGAAAGAAACAAAAATAATTTAACCACACCGCGAACAAAAAAGAAAACAACAATAATAATTAGCCACACAATTAATAGATAGAAACACAAAATAATATTTTGTCACGCCTCTAATTAAAACAAGGAAACAAACCACAATATTTAGCCCAACCACTAATAGAAAAAGAAGAATAATATTTAGACGCAGCAGTAACAGAACGAAAGAATAATAATATACAGTCACGAAACTAATAAAAAGAAATAAAC